GGGGGGTAAAGTATACCGGCACAGACATGAATGTTCAAAGGTCCATGTTGTAGGAGTTGTAGTGTCTGTTTGTCTGTCTGTTTGTCTATTTATCTATCTATCAATCTATCTCTTTCCCTCTTCCATGCCATTCCTTTTTTCTTTCTCTTTCTACACAATCTAACACACGCGCACACATGCGCAGACACAAACACAGCCACACCCAGTGCCCTGTTCTTATCTTCTTATCTCGTATGCTGTACCTAGATAGCTAGTCTCGCTATCCGTGTATTCATCTGATCTGTCTTTATCCTTGTGGGGGTGTTAGGAGAACACGTTCGTGTATCTCTCTCTCTCTCTCTCTCTCTCTCTCTCTCTCTCTCTCTCTCTCTCTCTCTCTCTCTCTCTCTCTCTCTTTCTGAGTCTGATTTGTGTTTCTAGCTCTGGGTGAATATACACAAGTGTGTGTGTGTGTGTGTATGTGTGTGTTCGTGTGTGCGTGCGTGTGTGTGTGTGTGTGTGTGTGTGTGTGTGTGTGTGTGTGTGTGTGTGTTTTTTGGGTATCTCTGTGCATGCTTACATCATTTCATAGTATTACCCTTTAACGGATCCACTCATCAACCTTCTTCTAACACTCCAGAGTGTGCAAGTTGCGCTCGTAAAAGATCCCTTGATGCTGAAAATTAACTCCTACCAAAACTAAAAATGTTCTAGTCAGTATAAAAACATATGTGAGGCAGTGTGGGGGGATCAGGCTCTCGTAAAAAAAATCAAAGTGAAGAAACTTGCATTTTTCCGCAGGTTTTTTAAATTTTTATAGAATTTTTGTTTTTTGGTTCAACACCTTTCAATCCTATTAAAGAACTCGTTTCTGTGTGAATTTGTCTGAAAAACGTTGATTAAAGGCACAAAAAATGTAAATTTTCTGTTACCACGGACTCTTAAGCTAAGGAAATAACTTATCTTTTGAGGCCATTTTCTCATTAATTTTACCTCTGAAAACAGGTGACCCTCACCTCTTTCAATTGCAAATATCTCGACTTGTATTTAAGATAAATGGATATTTTTTTCATCCAAACAAAGACAAGTAAACAAGCTTTGAGGTGATACCAATAACTCTACATGCCCAAAAATTGACGAGAGCCTGATTCCACCACGCTGCCTCACATATAGATCTAGAGTACCTTCGAAACCAAAATGTGGCTGCCTGAAAGCAAGGTGCCCTACTAAGTAGGAAAAACTGTCTTATACATACAAACCAGTTGCTCTGCAAATTGAAAACCCAGCTGTCGACTACCCGTAATACCCAGCAGAGGAACGCAAAGAAGAAGGCTTCACGCAGTGTGTCTTACCCATGGTACTGGCATCGTCCACAAGAATGATGTCAGCAACCAGACGTCTGGGAGTCCGGTTAATGATGCTGTACACTGTTCGCAGCAGCATCGATGGCCACTCATTATAGAACGGGATGATAATGGAGGCTGTGGGGAGCGAGCTCGTGTTGTACCTAAGTTTATTGCACCTGTCAGAAACAAAGACGTTTGGAAGAAGGTTACATGCCATAGCTCTACAGTTTTCGTATCAGTGGGCACACAGGATTTCCGCTAGTTATGGTTTGACTCTTGGGCTCATCATTTTGTTTTCGACAAATGTGAGGGATATCCACCACCGCATTAGACATGCCGGTGTCTTTCATGTAGTGGTTAGGTGCTTCGCTATAGCATACAGAAGACCTGAGTTTGATTACCGTGTGTAGAGATGTTTATTCATATATCTCAGTCTTTCTGCAGGAACGTTGTATCTTTCTCACCCCAGGTTAGGCCTGATAGGTATGGTCAAATCCTGCATGCTAAATGATACGAAGTGTGTCGATTTGGGCGCAAATTCCCTTTAATTTTAAAAAATAATTTTTCTTTGCGCCGTTAGGTAAGTTGGCATCAAGCTGAGGATGATCCTCGTTCATGTTTCCAATTTTGCGCGCCTCAGCTTCGGATTTCTGGGGACCGATGTTGTTATCAGAGATACGTTTGAAGGTCCCGCCTCTTGAGCAAACCATTTATCAGTCTCTTTTTTTCTTGCTGGGAAGTATCCTACACAGTCCGGATGGGGTCAAAGCGTTTAGAAAATGTGCATCAGTAGCAACGAGTATTATCATGAACATGGGATAACGCTTATCTTGAGCTTCTTTCCTCTGCACACAAAAAAATCAGTCTAAATATTGCTGAAGTCAACTTGCTTATTTTTAATTTGTACCCAAGATCAGTGACATTAAAAATAGAGGGCACTCTACCAGAGGCAATCGACAATGCACTCTTGTTGAAATGTAACGCACTATCGTGTCAATGGGAACAGAAAAAAAAGAAATCGTTCTTCAAGATAATACTGCGAAATTCGGTGCAAACCTACATCATGTATGGACTTACCAAATGCCCAAAACGATAGCAGTCTTTCAACTTTGGTGTATTTGGATCCCAACATTTGATTACTCTTTTGTAATATTAAACTTGAAGCCGTTTTATGTTGCTGGTTTTCTAAGACAATACGCTACCTCAGAATTACAAGGTTCTCTCTCATATTTTTAGCCCTTTTAAGTTTCTAAGACCATGAGTTCAGTAACCAAATGTTCTTTCTGATCCATCAAAATCGTAAGAATATTAGGAGTCGTTATCAAGATATTAAAAAAAGCTTGATATATTGTGAAGTTAAAAAATTTTCGTCCTCAAATTTCTCAAAACTAGAAATTAAGCAGATAGAACTTTGAAATTCTGAGGTAGCAAATAGTCAAATGATCGAAAAATGAGAGCAGATTCTTTATGTCCCCTCCTACTTCCACCTCCCCCAACCCAACACGGTTTGATCATATTGGGGCTGGACGGCTTCTCCGAGGCTAGTTCAGGCTGACTGGCATACAGCATCCTATCAGAAAGACTAAAATACAAGATAGAATAACAATATTATTATGCTGTTCTCCTCCCCGAAATCGTATCTTATCTTTTAGCGTGCAACGAAAAGAGCCTACCGGTTATATGACAGACGTCGGCTCGATAGTGGTTATCTTTTTGGAGAAGGTGGGTGAGGAAGGGGGTGTGCTTTTGATGTGAAGTCAGAACATTCGTCCCCCAGTACCAATAAGTATCTATCGCTCAGGATGATCTGAGCTATTTGGAGAGATTTGTACATTCTGCCTATGTGCGGTTGGACAATTCGAAGCTCCCCTCCCCCCCCCCCCCCCCCCAATTTCTCCCGTCTCCAAAAGTAATACCCAACTATTTTTTACAGCAATTTACTGCGTACTTTACGTTTTAGTCCGACAACAAAACAAACTGATTCCATTTTTGTAAATACGTAATAAAAGAGTGCTTGCTGTACATCCGTTATTTACTTTGCTTACGTTTTAAGGGGGGGGGGGGGGGGGCTACACCCCAAAAATCAAAATTCGGCTCAAAATCATGGAATTTGCGTTGTAGGCATTTTTAACTTCCTCAGCCTCTCCTACAACTATTTCATGGAATAAAAAAACCCCAAAAACCGTATTTTTTCCAATACCGGGCATGTTTGTAACCGCCATTTCCTCATAAAGTCAGTATTTTATTGTTCTTTATCGGCCGTTTTCTCAAAATGCGACTTTTCTCTATACGTTTTTGAATAACTCCACCATTTTTCATCCAATCTTCATGAAATTTTCACAGAATGAAGAGAAGGGGTACTACAAAAATTTGTCTGTTGAATTTTTGATATAAGGAATAGATTTTTGTTGGTGGTGTCTGGAGTGTGGATTAGCACTTGAATGCTACCTCAGGAAAAAACTCATTTAAGATTTTCTAATTCGATTAGGAAAAAAACAACAGAATTTTTTTTAGATCTAATGTTTGTGAACACGCATGCAAAAAAAAAAAATTTCCATTAGCGATAGGTGCGGTATTCATTACGTAAGACATGTCAATAAAATCCAATATGGCGGTGTATCCATGGAAATGAAACTCTTTTCTCAAATTTGATTGGGGATTTTAAGACTCCTTACTATGCTTGTTATATGTATGAAATTTGGTAAAATTCGGCCCCGTAATAAGCGAGATAGCCTCCAGGTGTAGCCCCCCCCCCCCTCCCCCTTAAGTTGTCGGGGTTTTTCTTTTCTTTGGTAGGGTAAGTAATGGGAGGTTTACAAGGGTGGGGTAGGGGGTTCTTTCAGTTTCAGGCAGCAGATTGGTCTTCAGAATTTCAGAACTCTTAACTTATCTCTCGAATTGACAGCTGGGGATATAGACTGCAGCTCTGCCTATTAAATCACAGAGAAAAGGGAGATGTTCTACAGTTACGTCATTTGTTTATTCGGAAATGGAGTATCGAAAATCAGGTTCAGTGTAGTTAGATCAAATTTCCCTGTAAACGGAAAGAGATATTTTCTTTAAGATAACCAGGAAACAGATGTTGTGTAAATTGTACAATTGACAGCTTTGCTTAGTCACGTCAGAAGTTTAAAACAAATAGAATAATTAGTAGAAATATGGTTAGAGTGCAAAGTACAATCACAGCCGTGAAATCAACGCCAGTCACAGTGAAAGCAAGGACGGTGATCTCAGTGGTAGCACCACCACGTCAACAACAACAACAACAACAACAACAACAACAACAACAACAACAAAAGCAACAACAGCAACAGCAACAGCAGCAACAGCAGCAACAGCAACAGCAGCAACAACAACAGCAACAGCAACAGAAATAACATCAAAAGTATTACAACCAACATAGGCCCTGAACACAATAACAGTGTGATCCTGGGAAGTAGAGTGGTTCATTTCGAGTATCTCTATGGAGAAAAAAGGGGACATAGCATGGGCTTTAAGCAAAGAGTATGTTTTATGGTGGCAATTTGTGTCTTGATAGACTATCTAACTTAAAGCAGTATGCATGATACAGCTTAGCCTGAGCTGTAGACAGAGAGGAAGTGGATTGCCCAAGTACTAATGCTTCTATTGAATGTTTCTAGCTCTTCAAGTTTTAATTTTATTGTGACCGGTCGTACCTTTTTTATTACATTCTATATTTTTTAGTGAACGCATTGCCAGGTTCCCAGCGTGACTCTTTTTCTCATATAAATCTTTATACCTATACATAATTATAAGTATGCATAATATTAATACTATGTTTACGTAAACATTTGTTCATTATTTTTAAGATGTGATTTTTTAAAATTAATGTAATGCACCTTGAGCAGTTTGTAAAAAATAGAAATGTACAAAAATGCTAATAATTATTTTTACTAAATGAGCCCCCTTTTGATGAAAGGAAAGATTTAACATCAACTGAGAGTCATAGGCCTATTATATTTCCACTCTACTAGAATGGAACAATAAATCTTGAGAGAAAAGTGACTCATGTGTTTTCAAGTTACCAAATATATAATAGATGTATAGATTGATTCTCTATTCCGCTTTCGTGGTTGTACACTCCAGATGAATTTCAAAGGTGTGGAATCAAAGCGCACGGCTAGTGAACGAAAACCTCACTTGTTTATAATGGCATCTTAGAAGACGGACTTTCCCAAGATTAGATCTAAACGAAACTAATGAAAAACTGAAAATTAAGCTGCAGTGACTTCAGGCTCCTCAGTGAAACTGTGCACCCTTTAAATGATTCTGAACCACCATTAATTGTGTTAAATCCGAAAGTTACGTAGTTCGGAAGTTTTAGGCGGCCAAAAGGAAAAATGGTATAGGTTTAACGCCCCTATCAACACTATTAGGTTATTTAAGGGGCGAGACCTCCTAGTTTAACGTCCGTCTCCGATAGGACCGAACCAAGCGGGAAGTTCGTGTAAAGTGTCTTTCCCAAGGACACAACGTCAGACCGAGCTGGGGCTCGAACCCCCGAACCGCAATCTCACGATTACGAGTCCTGTAGCCTAACCACTAGGCTACCGACGCCACAGGCCAAAGTGACGAATGTTCACAAATATAATATACGAGAGTAGATTCATGTTGTGGGATAAGCCTTGAGTTCAGCAAGAGATTATTTGCAGGCGGAAAGCGATAGAGATTATACTTCCCTCCCTTCTGATCTTGACTTCTTTGATACGCTCCAATGGAGAGACATCGTCCGTCAGTACTTTTGGAATCAAAGAAGGCGTAAGAGTGTGTCTGACGATGTCTTTCTTTTCCTCTTCTAGACCTCATGATGAGTGTTTGGCTACTGGTTCCTCAGCCCTTCAGACCTGTAGTGCTTATTTCTATGTCACCATTTTTCCTACTTAGCTGGGCCCCTGTTTCAGGTGAGGCAGCCACATTCCGGTTTCGAGGGTACTTTACATGCTTTTTTACAGACTATAGTATTTTCAGTTTCGGTTTAAGTAGGAATTTCGAATCTTGCGAGGGTGGCGCGGGGTCGAAGCCAACTCTTATTGATTTTAGGACCACCAATGGATCTTTAAAGTGCGCAACTTGTACATGGGACCTCCGAGATATTTCGCCTTTATTTGAGAAGGCATTTGATAGAACGCTGTTTGAAAAAAACAACCATGATCCAATTTGAACTTGACGAAGTTCTCTTACACTTCTCTGAATGGTAATGTTAGGGATAAAGAAGAGAAATTATTACTGTTAAAGTAGAGGACGATCGTAAAACGATGTGTGTTTATGGCCAACCTGTACGTCCCGAACTCAGTTCAGGCAATAAATGACAAGCAAGTAGAAAGATACAACTGCTATTAGACCGGTAGCCCAAGTGTCTTGAGCGCGTTCTTGACCAAAGCTTTAAATCATCGTCCTGCACTGAGCCGACAAGTCAGTGACGAACATAGTTTGAATTTCTTCTTTTTTTTTCATGTGATTAGATTTGTACTGTATGCGTGCCTCGGTAACCCCATTGTTGGGACATTTTTAAAAATTAATACAGGAACAATAATTTTCGGTATTTCTTATTTTTATACGTGTCCATACCGTCAGCTTTTTAATATACTTTCATAGTATTTCATACAATGTAAAGACAAAAGTATACTTTGCTTGTCAAGTGTGTACAAAGTCCAGGAAAAAGCTGATCCCCAACTGCTCAACCCTAGGATAAGGTTAAATCGTGCAAGACTGGTGGAGAAGAAAAAGAGGAAAATAACTTACCCCTCAATTCGTGAGTCTGGAACTAGTCTGTTCAGGGGTATCTCGTCGCTTGCCATTGTGTTTACGTTATGTTCTTTCATGATGTTATCAAGTTGAGTTTTCATGTTCACAGTTAATACAACGCCATGGCCTCTTTCACCAGCAAATCGCACATCGTTCCTCCCATAATCGTCTATTAGTGGGTTTCCTGTTTTGTCCCCTCTCCTAAATTCTTCCGCGGTGCACATCTTTTTAGTTGGGGGGCTTGGACTGTTGGAGGTATTCTGTTGGTGGTGGCCCGAGTTCATCGCACTATTCATCCTGTGACTTGAAAGCAAAAGAGAGTCAATGGACGGGTCCAAGCACAAGCCATCCCGATCTCTGGACTTACACCCAATGCTCCGTTTTCGGATATGACGCTGATTAAAGCTCAAGAAGAAAATATTTAAGCCAACGATGGCTAAGACACAAACTCCAACGAATTTGAGGCACTGGGGGAGCGAGCACCAACCATATCTGCGAAAACGACCGCCGCATTTCATGGCTGAGGTGTGCAGTAAAAAATCTTCCTTTGTCCAGATAAGTAAATGTTATGACATAATATCCTGCTCATCAACATGGAAACTTTTCTGGCATTTATTCCTTCCGAGTCTTGTGTTGGAACGTATGTGCACAGGTTCATTCACTGTGACTTTTCAACTTTCACGGTACAGCTACTGGACATAAGTTGTCACCGTCATTCAATGTTTCGTTTGGTCTCGTGTATTCCATAACCAGCCACGGCTCTCGATGTTCCTTCATCGACGTATTGTGTGCTGTGGTACTGGTTTCTTCAGCAAACCATCAATGCTTGTGCAATTTAAGACGACTTTATCTGTAAAAGAGAGAAAAAGAACAGAACTAGTTTCACAAAGCACAATAAATTCAGTTTGGTGTCGATTTTTGTGTGTAATTGTAATACCTGCATCTGGATTCACATTCTTAAGAGGGATGCGCCTTTATTTAACAGTAACAGGTCGGACTAGTATGATTGGATCGGATTAGGAAGTCATGCTGATCACTTAAAATTTATCGAATTGAAATCAACGAGATTAAAATCTGATCCTTAAAAAATAGCAAGATAGAAAGACTGGTAGATATACAGTATAAGGTAGCAGCTAAGTAAATTTTAAAAGTTGAAAAAGTCGAATCAGACAAGTAAATCCTTTGTCAAAAGGAACTTCAATTTAGACGCAACAGGAGTGCCATTCTTCTTCTTCTTCTTCTTCTTCTTCTTCTTCTTCTTCTTCTTCTTCTTCTTCTTCTTCTTCTTCTTCTTCTTCTTCTTCTTCTTCTTCCT